CGCCGGCCGATTCCTCAGCTGCTGGTCAACCTAGAGGTCCAAATTTTGGTGTGTAAGTAGATCTTACCTTCCTCTACAACTATTGTTTTCATGGCTCAAACCTCAGATCACTCTAAACTACTCAAAAATGGACGGCCTAACCTAACATAACCTAACGGCTCAATTCGGCTAGGTTAGGTTTGGTTAGGCCGTTTTTTTGGCCGTCCATAGCCCGATGGCCGTTTTTTTACGAAAATGGAAAGCCCTTAGGATCCTCTACAACTTTTGTTTTCATGGCTCAAACCTCAGATCACTCTAAACTACTCAAAAATGGACGGCTCAATTCGGCTAGGTTAGGTTTGGTTAGGCCGTTTTTTTGGCCGTCCATAGCCAGATGGCCGTTTTTTTTACGAAAATGGAAAGCCCTTAGGATCCTCTACAACTTTTGTTTTCATGGCTCAAACCTCAGATCACTCTAAACTACTCAAAAATGGACGGCTCAATTTGGCTAGGTTAGGTTTGGTTAGGCCGTTTTTTTGGCCGTCCATAGCCCGATGGCCGTTTTTTTTACGAAAATGGAAAGCCCTCAAGATCCTCTACATTTTTTGTTTTCATGGATACAACCTCAAATCACTCTAACCTTCTCATAAATGGACGGCTCAAGGTCGGCTCAATTTTGGCTCAAATTTGGCTCAAGGCTCAAAGGTTAGGTTATGATAAGTATTTAAATCAAGCTACAATGTACTCGGTACACTACACGATCTACATAAAGATTTTACCCCCGAATTCGAAATTTGAATTCAGATGCCACAAACGTCCCAGAAACGATGCCAAGTGTGTGTGGCACCTCTCTCTGGAGGTGCCACACACATAGGGAAAAACGGGTAAAAGTGATGCCAAAAACGGGTTGACCAGTCCTTCATCAACTTTATATATCCGACCCAACCCTTATCCATCCTTCATCAACTTGATAAAGCCGACCCAACCATGATCCATTCTTCTACAACTCTATAAATCCGACCCAACCCTGATCCATCCTTCATCAACTTGATATATCCGACCCAACCCTGATCCATCCTTCATCACAACTCTATATATCCGACCCAACCCTGATCCATCCTTCATCAACTTGATATATCCGACCCAACCCTGATCCATCCTTCATCAACTTGATATATCCGACCCAACCCTGATCCGTTCTTCCTAAACTTGATATATATCCGACCCAACCCTGATCCCTCAACTTGATATATTTCCGACCCAACCCTGATCCATCCTTCATCAACTTGATATTTATCCGACCCAACCCTGATCCATCCTTCATCAACTTGATATATATCTGACCCAACCCTGATCCATTCTTCCTCAACTTGATATATATCCGACCTAACCCTGATCCATTCTTCCTCAACTTGATATATATCTGACCCAACCCTGATCTTTTCTTCCTAAACTTGATATATATCCGACCCAACCCTGATCCATTCTTCCTCAACTTGATATATATCTGACCCAACCCTGATCTATTCTTCCTAAACTTGATTAATATCCGCTCCAACCCTGATCCATTCTTCCTAAACTTGATATATATCCGACCCAACCCTGATCTATTCTTCCTCAAATTGATTAATATCCGACCCAACCCTGATCAGTTCTTCCTCAACTTGATATATATCCGACCCAACCCTGATCCATTCTTCCTCAACTAAATATATCCGACCCAACCCTGATCCATCCTTCATCAACTTGATATATCCGACCCATCCCTGATCCGTTCTTCCTTAACTTGATATATATCCGACCCAACCCTGATCCATCCTTCATCAACTTGATATATCCGACCCATCCCTGATCCATTCTTCCTAAACTTGATATATCCGACCCAACCCTGATCCATTCTTCCTCAACTAAATATATCCGACCCATCCCTGATCCATCCTTCATCAACTTGATATATCCGACCCAACCCTGATCCATTCTTCCTCAACTAAATATATCCGACCCAACCCTGATCAGTTCTTCCTCAACTTCATATATCCGACCCAACCCTGATCCGTTCTTCCTCAACTTTATATATCCGACCCATCCCTTATCCATTTTTCTCAAATTGATATATATGATCCAAGTATGTATGAAATAGATGTCAATGTTTATTGTTTTGAATACAAATTATTTTCAATTGTTGCTTCCATGTTGCTTCTCTACAAAAGTGATTATTTGCATAGCTCTAGTACAGGAAAACAATTAAACAGGTTTAAATCTAGAAAATTGACAATTAATGGCTTTAAACAAGGGTGGATACAGGGGGGGCAGGACCTTTGCACCCCCTGACGGATTCAGGGGGCGTAGCCCCTTTCGGAGCTTTCAGAATAGCTTCTCAATAGCACTTAAGGGGAAAGAAAACCTATTGCAAAACAGAAAAAATAACTTTTAAAAACTTTTCGCCTGCAGTGCGTTTTAGGTTCCTAAATCTGGATATTTTTGTTCTAAAATAAATCTAACACCCCCCTCACTTAAATCCTTTATCTGCCCCCGTTAGGTTGAGCTCCTCTTTCTGTCTANTGTGTGTGTGTGTGTGTTTGCCGGTAGCTTTCTTTTGGATCGATATTTGTAATTCCAATTGGTAAGCAGTTCAGTGTACACTCGAGATATGTTGTTTACATTCCTTACAGTTTCATACGTCAGATACAGAGTGTCCTATATCATATTGGATCATCTCCAAGCCTTAACCCTAAACAGGCTGGGGGGTGGGGCCGTTTGGCGCCCCCCTTCTAGATTTTTGACCTGACACTCTCATTTTTGACACTATCACTGTGAAATTACTTTGACTTTGGAAAATAGAAATTTAAAGGATTTTTTGTAATTTTTTTTTGCATAGGGTAGGGTTCAGGGCGGTAAAAAGTCCGGTCTGTGTTAACCCTCCAGCCTAGGGTTAACACCAAAATACACACACTCGAAAAACCTAGTATTTTATGCATGCAATTTTTTGTATGCCTTATATGATGAAGGAGTGGAACACCTTGAAGTTTGCACACTTTTACATTTATATCGTGATTACTGATATTGGAGACCATGTATTTGTGACAGGAAAATTTCGGATTAACTCTTGTTTGTTTTTTCTGTAGAAGTCCTTTATTGCTATCACTTTCAATCACAATTTCACCAATTTATTTCAAACTTTACGTTTTTCTCTTTCACAGAAATTAGTTGTCGAAGAATGGGTTTTAAATAAAACAACTCTCAAGAACACGAGATAAATTACAAAAGTAAGAAATCACACTCCTACACAACTAGCCCTGATCAGTCCAGGGTAATCTGAGGGATATAGTCCCGTACACAACTAGCCCTGATCAGTCAAGGGTAATCTGAGGAATATAGTCCCGTACACAACTAGACCTGCTTAGTCCAGGGTAATCTGAGGGATATAGTCCCGTACACAACTCCTTGATTAGTCCAGGGTAATCTGAGGGATATAGTCCCGTACACAACTAGACCTGATTAGTCCAGGGTAATCTGAGGGATATAGTTCCGTACACAACTCCTTGATTAGTCCAGGGTAATCTGAGGGATATAGTCCCGTACACAACTAGACCTGATTAGTCCAGGGTAATCTGAGGGATATAGTCCCGTACACAACTAGACCTGATTAGTCCAGGGTAATCTGAGGGATATAGTTCCGTACACAACTCCTTGATTAGTCCAGGGTAATCTGAGGGATATAGT